GTTTCTTAAGCGGCGCTGTCGCTGTACTACAAGTAGCAAGAAACTGGAAACTTGCGCAGTCTTCAGCAAGGAACCTTTTTTCAGCACAGCTTGACAGTAGAAGTCTCCACGCCTGCTCTAGCACCGAAGCATCTGCAGGGAAGTTGTTCGGCGAATGTGCACAGCTTTCCCTGTGCCCTGCATCGCGGATAATCAGGTAGACCCGGTCAAACGAACTAGCAAGAGAACCACTACTAAAGAACCAGTACCGATCTGGCCTGCGAAACGCCCGCCTAACAAGAAGCATTCTTGTCGAGGATCCACCATCATACGCAGCAGATGTTGAAATTAACAAACGTCCTCACATGCAGCACAAACCATGCTGTCGCGTCTCACGGCGGCAAGATTTCTTCTGCAGGAAAATGCACTTCCGAAGCAGTGCTGATGCGCAGATACAAGCCCCTGATTCTAGCGGAAGCCTAGCCGAAGTGGAACGTATCCGTGGAGATTAGCCATTTACGACGTAGCAGCTACCTCAGCAGGAAGCACGCATTCAGTCTGATCAATCTGGTGGCCTATGGCCAAAGCCGCATCACAACGGCTTCACAGCAGAAGGGTCAAGCATGGACAGCTGCCAATAGCCCTTCCACCCCAATCTCGCAAAACAGTCCCTCATGCCAGCCTTCTCCTTTGGAGATGGCACATCCTCAATCCTGTTACCTCTGTTACCAATGTCCAATATGAGAAACGGAGACGGCATCTTAAGCATGACACAAACTTCAGGCTTTGTATGGCTTGTAGCATAAAGCCAATGCGAACTAACGAGCAAACACATCCAGAGCCACTTGACTTCGCGACGTACCTGTCAGACAAACGAGAGGGAGATCGGTAAGTAGGACTCCCAGGACAGTACTGGAGTGGTTTTCTGGTACCATTGAAGCATAAATAGGAAGACTGTTGACCTGGACAGCACGTCAACGAGAAAGAGGCTTTTCTTCGGGGAAACTGCACTTTACCGTGCTTCGGGGAGCTAACAGGAACAGGTCTTCAGGCATGGGTGGCACCGTGTCAAAACTATCTCGCTCGCAGTCTTGCATCTCTTCTGCAAGCATTTCAGAAGCCCATCTCATCGCCACCCAGGCCGCCAGCAGCTTCTTGTAGCTTCGTCCCGACACCTACGTCAAGAAAGTTGGTCACGACTGCGCTGCCGGCAGGCTTGAGTTGCATGTAAGTAGTAGCAGCTACCTGTTCAATGACCCGAAAGTTGTCAAATTGACGAACCACACGCATGCGTCATCGGTTGCTCTGAAGTGAAGTTTCGGGTGTGGCGGCAGACAAGAACTCATAGAACCACCACCAAGAGTCGAGAACCAGAATGGGAGCTGACGAAGCCTGCCGTCTTGTTGTGTGGCAGGACGCTCATCAAGTCAAGCTCGCCGCCTCCAGCATTGACAACAACAGATGGCCTTTTTCCCCGCCAGAGTGCAACAAAGCACGAAAGCTCCAAGAGGGCTTTTGTTGAAGCTCAGGGAGGCACGGGGATGTCGGTGACTCCCACGGCTGGTTCACCTCAGGTATTGTAACTTCAGGAGGCCTCTAACCATTCCATGCCAATGCTCCTGCAGACCGGTGCCCTTCGCACGGCTGCCCCAGCTTTTCTGCCATTCTTGCCATAATGTCTTCCGTCGGTTCTCCGAAGCCGTGCAACCCGCAGGCTTGTTGCAGTGTGAAGCTGGCGTAAAGCGACCTGGTTCGGTCAGCATAAACCAGGCTAACCGGCTCAGCTTGGTCGAAGTGCCGCTGTTGCAACAAGGGAGATGGCCGGCAGGAGTTCGATCACCAAGGAACAGACATGCAAGGACCGTGTGGTGCGAAGATGTGTTTAATGCGAAGATGTGATGTGGACTTGCACGGCAATGTGCAGTGAGAAAGATCAGCAGCGCTGTCAATAGTCATGAAGAAGCTACTGCGCTAGAGCACGCAGATGCGACCGTCCACCATCTGCCATGTTGCAGCAATGGGCAAAAGGACACCTTCGACCAAGTATTTACTTTGGAAAGCTAGCCGGAGTCTTCGCCAACAACTAAGTCACTCGGCCGTGCGACCTACAGTAGCTGGTCCTGCCACTACAAAACGATTGCGGAGACTCAACGACCCACGCGCTTGTGGCATCCACCGTATCCGAATTGAATGTATAATGATGACAACGCCACCTTGGCGCAAATGGGAAGCCTTGCCGGCCGCGGCCAGATTTGTCAGTGAGACAGGCTCGCACATGCATCATCCACATAAGCTGAACGACGAAGATCCGCCGTTCAAATTACGCATGACAGACCTAGGAATAGTCACGCCTTGACAACTCCAGTTGCCTGGGCCTCCTCCGCTGAGTCAAGAGCCACCTGGCCGATAGCAGTGTGACCTTCATCTAGACTGAGATCCGTTCTGAAAAAATCCCAACACTGGAGCCGGCGCTGGCCTTGATGATGCTCCCTTTGTACAAGACCTTGAGAGAGTCAGTCCCTGGCGACTGGGTAGTGCCTGCCTGGACCTCTCAGGAGAACTCGCACGAAGCTAACATCTTTTCGTGCGGGATCGCGTTTTAGACTGCTTCCTCCGCTAGCCTGATGCCATGCATGGTTCTGTAGAAGTCAATCAATGCAAGCATTCCACATTGCCTTCTTCACGGCTGCAAGTGTGAGCCAACAATCTCCACGTCGATAATGACAGTCAGAGTCGACCTCACTGCCCAAATGCCGCTCCAGCCTTGGATGCAAGCAAAGCACGAAGAAAAGTGGAGCAGCAAAGTGCCAGCAGTCCAGCAAGACTTGAAAAGCGTCACACTGACAAAATCTGGAACAAATCTGGCGGCATCAAAATGTACTACGCGCTATGCAGCTATGCCATGCTATGCCGCTATACTTTGGGCAAGCCTCCCGTATCTGGCATGGACCGCCGTCGCCGAGAAAGATGCAAGGGAGGATGAAATCATTTTTGTCCGGCAAAGCTTTGACGATTAGCTTCCGGTCAGAAGCCACATGCAGTGCTTCTCCGCTCAGTTTCCACTTTCCACAAGATTGCCCATGGCCCAAGTACGGTGGCACTTCGTCAGCATCCGCTGATCGACGCACCCCAACCGGACGCAGTGTGCGACGAGCTGCGAGATGTGACCATGCATGCCGTGTCAGAAACTTAGAAGACCGAAGAGGCGGCAGCATGCGGCAAATGCTAACTAACGGAAGCCTTGCTGTGCCTGCCGGTGTGCCCGTTTGCGCTTCGGATGCTACTTTACACACAGGGTGCCGGCCCCAGTCAGTGCATCTGCCTAGCCTGTGGCAAACACAAACACCCAATTTGAAGCTCCAGCAGCGTGTCTCGTAGGACCGTCCCGGTGTTGTTCCAGGGCACCGGCTGCCTCGCACTGTGGCGGCGGCTGTCGGCTTGGTGTCTTGAAACTGAGACATGAGCACACTATTAAACACAGCATTAACAAGCGTAGCCAAGCTGCAAGTGTAAGACTCTGTCTGGCTTCTCGCCCGCGACGTTCGACTCCTAGGCTGTTCAGCAACTGCGGCGTGCGGCGCACTCAACGCCCGCGGGTGACTGCCAATGTGTGCTAAATCAGGAAAGTATCCAGGATGCTTCCGTTGAATCTCTCCACCGCTAACTTCGCATGGTTTGCAGCATCGAAGGTGATCCGCGCTGTGGTGTCACGCACGCTGCAGTCCCTCACCGGCCCCACCTGGCTAGGCTCCCGCCGGGCCAAAAAGTCTGTGGCTCAAAACCAAGCTTTCCCCGAAAAAACAGCCCGCCTTGGACGAAAACACCGATTCGACCTCTGTCGACTTGAGGCCTTTGATAAGATTTGTGATGCGGATCGTCTGGCACCTCGGGCCGTCCAATCACTTTCTGCGCATGTCGTGCCACCCCACGGCATCAGCTGTCCGCAGGTGATGCTCGCATCATTAAGCCCATTCAGCATTCTCTCGTGTGACTCCTCTGTTAATTCCTCATTCGGTGCACTGCAAGTCCTTTTGCGGTGTCGGCGGCGGCATAAGCTCCCACTGAGGAACCTCTCAGCTTTCGTGGATGTTCTTCAGTAACCCATGTTTCTCCACCCGGCCCGAGGCCTCTCGTGACTCCTTGGGGGCGACCTCCGGGCCCTTGCTCTCCACTCTGCGTGACTCCATCAAGGAGGCGATCTGTCAGAGTCCACGAAAGCCCGAAAGAAGCGCGAAAGCAATCTGAGTGCAATCTCTGTTGAGGGATGGGACTGGGAGGCCTCGAGGTCCTCAGGCTCCAAGAACATCATCCGGTTATCTTCTTGCACCGGTCCTGAGCACTTGTTGGGTCTTGTCGTGGTTCCCAAAACACTGCGAGGTGCTTTCGGCGCGCCTTGTTGACTGGCCTGGCTTGCCTTCTGGAGCTCCTTTTCGCCGTAATTGCAGGCGTTGCTGGAAACTTGACAGGAACTGCCACTGATTGCCACTGACGACCGAGGCACTGCGAGGGTTTCCATCAAGTCCACGAGTGGTATCGTGATGTTCATATTGAGCGCCAAACTTGGCTGCCCACCTTCCGGTTGAGATGTACCATGAACGAACAGGCAGAAACAAATTAAACTGCACTTTCGTGGTTGGACCATGCTGAAAAGCGATCCGGAACACAAAAATGCAAGCAGGCACGGCCACGGCTGTAAAAGTGTGTCCAACATGCCGCCCCCCCAGCAGGAACCGCACAGTGCCTGAGGAAGCGAAACTCGTCCCAGAGCATGAGACCTGCGCAGCAGCTTCTCCTAAATCTGCGATCAGTACACAACCGAACAAACCATGCACAAGCTTGGCACCTGCACTGGCAAAGCAAAGGCTCCCATCACGAAGCTGTTGCTGAAGCTCTTTTTGCACTTATCAAACGCCGTGGTAGCAATGTCTGTTCTAAGCTCTTGGCACAGACCATGGCCTAGATGTGCTGTTGTTGCCGAAAGTTCCGTGACCACTGCACATTCTTGCCGTATCAACCTGTCTCTTGCATGCTGAAGCTTGTAGAAGCAGCAGGCATTCAAGTTCACAGGCTCTGGTTCTGGTGGTTGACTGCAAAGCCTTGGGTGGTCCGAGCATCCAACAATGCACTTCGCACGGCTAGCGAGTTTCAATGCTGTCACCTGCCAGCTTTGCGCAGGCCATCGCATGCTCGCAGGCTCGTAGAGACGTAGCAAAACAGGACGGTCTCGCTGTTTCCTTGATGCTGGATTGTGCTGGTGAGCAGTTCACGTACATCAGGGCCTGAAAAGCAATGCTCATTTCCAAAAGCCTTTTGACTCCGAGTCCTGGGGGGCCAGCTTTGGCACTTCCGCCTAGAGCATCCTGCAGCAGCTGGGTGAGCTTGTGGTTCCTGGCGAAAGCGATGGGCACCCTGATGCGAGGACACCAGCAACAGGATCCTCACAGTCTTTGAATTAATCATGTTCGAGACAACCACTTTGTTTAGGTGCCTGAATCGGGCTTTTTGCCGCTAAGTTGCATTCAGCGCTACGCAGTTTATTACAAGCATGTAGTTGGGTATCAGTAGGCTCATGGAATGGCATGTGGCAACATACGGTGACAAAGCCATGGTTATGCATGGAAGGACAATGACCCAAGCACTGTGGAGCTGGTTTCAGCCCGCTGGCTCTAGTTTCAAGCCCTGGGCCCTACACTTCGTGTCCAGATCCAATCTCCCGGCAAGTCCCGGCATGAAGGTCTTCTCTCCACAGGCGATTGGGCGGCGCGGGTACGTAATGAGCTACGAGGGCGGCATTGCAGCAAACGTTTGTCCTGTATGGAATATACTTCCTCTTCTTCGCAATAGCCTGGCTGAACACACGGTGCCGCACAAGGCTTTGTGAAAGCTCGTGCAACTCCCCGATGCTCTTCTACACCCTGCCTCTATCACATCTCCAAGTGCCGACAAGCTCTTGTTGATCTCGATGGCCTCTAGTCGGCGGTCCCGATCTTGCTCGACCTGAACGCATTCGGAAAGAAAAGAGACTCTTGGTATTCGGTGCAAAAACGCGGGCACACGCCGGACACCGTACGTACAGTGCTTGGCCTCGGTTTTCTTCAACCTCTCGCAGCCGCCAAGGTCACAGAAATGCCTCGGATGCAGGCACATCCCGGCCCTCCTAGACCCTAAACAGCCCATCTATTTCTGGCAAGGTGCAGTTTGCTGGTGATGCGTTCTACACCACCTTGTGGGGACGGTACATCTTGCGCCAAGAAGACCTTGAAATACTTTCAACAGACTCGCAACAGCACGCCTTGGGAGCCTAACTTGTGTAGACGAGCAGCTGTGAAAATAACGTGTGACCTTGAACTCTCTGCGTTCATCGCGTTCTCAGCAACTGCGCGCTGTTCCAGGCCACGCTGAAATACGGCCTCGCGGTGAAATGCACTAGCGCAGAGCTCCTTACATTAATGTGAGCCCTCTCAACCCACGCAGGCTGAACTGCATTCACATTTCCAGTGAGCAGGGGCCAACCCACTAACAAAGATGCCAGTCGGCTAGTCCCACCTTGAGCTCCTCTGCACTCTTCGCCGACTCGCGTGCCAGGCCTTCGACCTGCCGGCTGTCGAAGCAACGTCAAACAGCAAAAGATGGCAGGGGAGCAGCACGGTCATGACACGCAACAGGGCAGCGATGCTCTTTTTAATTGCGGGCATGGAAGGCGGTGGTGTCGAAGCGAACTAGCAGCTGCAAGCAGCTGAAATACTGCTCTTACAGCACAGGCAGTAAGTTGCCCGCACTGCAGCCGAAATTGGCCAAGCGATAACGTCCCGGACTCAAACACAGCTCCGCCCCACTTAACACATTCATTGAATTGCGAAGCTATGGCGAAGGTAGAGAGGCTTCCCGGTCGGAGACCTCTGGTACTCTAGTTACTAGCTTCAACTCTGGCTTCCAACGTGCGCGACCTAGGACCGTGCGATGCATTGAAGGAGCTGTCACTAAAGTAGTGAAAATGGGTGCGGACTGCTTCAAGGAGCCATCGACCCGACGGCGGAGACAGAGAGGAGGGCTCGTACCCAAAGCCATGTCACGTGGCCTTGGCTTCGAGCCTAAGGCCGAGGTAAAGCAGGCGACGGCACGAAGCGAAAACGGAACTGCAACCGCCGTGCTCGGCAGGCTGCTCGACTAGCCTTGCAAACTCAATCGGCATCTTACCGATTTGTTTGGCCGCTATTCACTGTCACGAATTTCCCCATGTCAAGACGCCGACGTAGAAGAAATAGAACGGGAAGCACGGCTGCACGCAGAAACTCTCACAACATCAGAGCAACCAAATCGAATCGAGCGATTCGAACATCTGGGCAAAAGCGTTAACAGTGTCTCCATGGCTCACCACAGCTCTTCCACATAACGCTGCTCTGTCTTTAGCCTTTCAAGGTAATCTGCGCTGCCCAGCGCAAGCTCTAGCTCGTCGCGAACCTGGAAGACGTGACGCAACCAAAACACACTCCATTGACGGACCTCAGGACGGGCTAGGCACTGAGCCTGCTTGCCCATGCTGGTGGCTCCACACACGTAGATGTAGCCGCCGTCTGCTATCATCTGTTTCACCTGCCGGAAACACGGAAACACTTGCCGCATGGCAGAACAAGTACGCGTTGCCTCTGCTGACTTCTCCTTCAGCTTGTGCTGTACATACACCTTCCATTCTGCGTCAGCAATGGCAGCAAGATCCGGCGGCAAATACGACTATCTCAGCATCCCTCGGCTCCTTCTCCTTCTGCTCGCGAGAAAATGCCGTTATCAACTCCTTGAGTGCCGGCGGCTTCATTTCCACAGCCTCACAAAGCTCCTCCACAACTGACAGACTGGTGCAGGCATTGCTCGTCATGATTTGTTTTGGAGTTCTTCCCCCTTCATCATCTTCAAGTTTAAGTTGACATGAATTTGAAAACGTAGTCTGCACAGGGCTGCAGGTGGTGGACCAAACGATGGGAAGCGGGTAGCTGTTGAGTGTCATCTGAGTCATCTGTATGGGTTTCATCGCAGACGAGTGGCTAGCTTTATGGATGCGCGCATGCTCCAACATCTGTTGTGCCCTGCACCCTGTGGGAGCTCACGATAATAACCCAAAGCAGGAGTTGCAAATTCTGCAGCACCCACGCAGGTTCTGGCTTCCTTTCGAAATTGATCGCTCCCGCTCGCATTGCATGCCACGGCCGGCTCGGCAGGTCTCCACGTCCGACTTAAGGGCTGACACACTGACACAACCGCTGCAAAGTAGGGGAAAGCAGTCGACAGGCAGCTGTGCAGCTCGATTGCTGCGAACGGCTCTGTGCAATGCAAGAATGGCATGACATTCCACCCTTCGCTCCTTCGTGATCGAATCTGCAAAGGTGCGAGCAAACATGCTTCAAAACAATCCTTACCTTTGCGCGTCCGATCTTTAGACCCTAACTGAGATCTGCGAGCTTCTGGCATTTGTGGCTGTCGCGCATCCTTCTCACCAACGATACCAACGGGGAGGATTAGGATGAGTGTGAACGGATTCCTCCGGCGATGCCTCATACTTCGTTGCCAACATGAGCTTTCCGGGGTCTCTAGATTCCCAGGGCAGCTGTCTTGCTTCAAAGTGTGCTTTTGCTTCTTGGACAGTGGGCTCTGCGGCGACTTAAGCACTAGAACAGCCGCCGTGAGTGCCTGGGCCCAGGCCTGGCGCCTAGACTCCTAGACGGTCCTAGACCTGATCCAGTGACCTCATCGCGTTCCGGTGCGAATCAACCGCGGCACCAGATTTCTACAGCAGATCGATTTAGGCCGGTAACTAGGGGTGGCAAAACAGCAGCTGCCCATGCTGAACAGCTTTACCAAGCTGCTAGACGCTGCTAGCTTTCGGTGGATCAAACTCAAGCACATTTTTGATCTTGATCGGCTGCAATGCATGAACGCTCCTCCTTGTAAATGAAATCCTCATCTCGCTTCGTGCATCCGAAGAAAAGAACGGTCTTCGTCCGGCACCTCGTCGTGCAATCCCGCATAGATCAACTCCACGACGACACTCGGATTGCTTCCGAGCCGCGCACCCACTCTCAGATCTAAATTCACGCACGAAGCCTCGAAACGGTGCCAAGCCTGTGCCAGCACCTTGTTGATGCATGCAGCTTGCAGCAACCGAGTGGGTTGAAAATGCTTGAAAATGTGCTGGCGCCCCTGCCAATCATCACAATCGGAGTCGTGGTGCGACGTGGCCTTTGCAAGTGCTGAACACTGTGTGGATGGAATGCCCTGCATCCAAACACAACGCAAATGCAAACATGTTAAGCGCGAAACAAGCGGAAAGTGGAAGCCCGTGCATAAATCCAGTGCTTTGCTCCGCGCGTCGTCCTGATTGAGCAAAGCTTCCAGCCACACTCATCTACCAAATAGCCTCCGCAGTTGGAAGTTCCGAACTTGGCCGCTACTGGCTCAGCACGTCCTCGTGCACAGCATCTCAGAACACAGCCCGCGGAATCTCCTTCTAGAGCTCCATTTCTAAAAAGCTCCAGTCATGTGCTCACAATGCTCCACAATCGCAGCAGCATGCAGCAGCACTGGAAGCAGGCAACGGCCTAGGTTTGACGGCGGTCTCTCCCAGCTTCTGCAGGAATGCATTCGCACGTGGGATTCGAATGCCACGGTCAGCCAGGTCCTCGACCAGGATTCACGCTTCGAAACATGTTGTTTTGTGCGAGGCTTCGATGACATGTAATCATAGCTTTGATAGGCATTTTCAATGAATTTCGGCTTGGCACCGACAAAGCCGACGAATGTGCCTTCTATAGCCGCTTGTGCAGCATTGGAGTTGAAAATGCATGGACATTGCGGTGGATTCTGGAGGAGTGCAAAAGCGACAAGCGACACCTGCTTCTGCTTCCTGCTCTATCCTTCATGACTAGCCGGCTTCTGTCTGGAGAGCATTTCGACGGCTCTTCCACGTTTTGCACCGGGGCAGCTATTGCTTTTCCTACAGCCAACGTTATGCATCCAGTATCTGCTCGCGTGTCTTGCAGTCGACATGCTGCTGGCATCGTGCTAGGCCATGCCGGCATCGTGCTACCCTAGTGCATACCCACCTTCGGCACTTACGCAGAAGACTACTTGAATACTAAGATCCTACAGAACTTCGCTTGCTCATGCGGGTCTGCTTTCCTACTCGACATGATTCCGACTGCCGCGGGCCTTCAGGGCGGCTTCTGGGCTCTTGCCCTCTTCTTGGACAAGGCTGACGCAGATGGCTATCCTGGCAGAGACTCTAGAAAAGTTGCGGCGATGCAACCACCAAATCTCTGCCTGTTGGGGTCTTCCTTCGAAGAAGATGCTATGGTGTAGGGCCTTGGTGCAACTCATAACCCCAGAGCACATGATGCCAGAGGCAGAGTGTTTCATGAGGCGGCCTGTTCTTTTGTCTTTGACAAAGCTGTACAAAGGCAGAGAAGTCGATTTCGGCAGATGGCATAAACAACCTTGGGCGAGCTTGCATGAGCCATGGTAACAAGAACAACGGGCTTGCTCGGTAAGCGCTGCGGGCGCTGCTCAAAAAAGTCTCGCATACTCATCCGGCCATCAGCCAGAATCTGGAAAGCCTTCCAGAGACCAGCACAACTGCAGCCTATGCAAGTCTTTGGATCAATCGTGGATTCTGGGGGAGCTTCACGTATCCGGCTGATTGTATGGCAGGGGCGCACCAGCAACAAACTCGAAACAACAAAACGCCTGCCTCGCGGTCCTGCAGGAGGGTCTGCAGCGCTGCACTGTCTGCTTCGTCCCGCACGAAGGGCGCAAGGCGCTTGCAACAAGCCCTGAAGCAAAGCTGCAACAAGCAAGATTCAGCGTTGATGACCTCCACTACCGTCCCCACACCCGACACCTGTGTAAAGTGCAGAGGTCACAGTACAGAGACAGTGCCACGTGGACGCTGCATGGTGTCGGGAATGGCTTCTTCACCTTGCAAAAGAATCAAACTGCAAGTTGCGCATTTCCTCTCCTGACGTAGCAACAGGTCCAGCTCGCACGACTACATGCAAGTGAATGCCCAGTCGCTGCTTTGCCCTCCGCGCAGGACCGGATGAACGTCACGTGGCCTGGCTCACGTCAAAGTGCGGCGGCTCGCGTCACGAAAGCGAAAGCAAAACAAGCCGCCATTCACTTTGTAGCTGGTCACCGACGCCAAGACGCTCAGCAAACCACTGCACCACATCGTCAGGATTCTCGGGCAAGACCTGGCTGTGGTTTTGTGGCCTTCATCAATCCGACATGGGTTCGAGTTGTTCGCGTGCTGCGAATCACTCTCAGTCAGCAAGCTCACATTGGCCGTTTTGCCTTCCGCTTCGCGTAGGAGCCGTCATTGGTCGGATGACCAAAACCACTCTTCTTTCCATATTGCTTCCGGGGCTACAAACCTAGCGCGTCTGACACACCTACGTTGACGACTGTCGAAGCCTCGAATCCACAATGGAAAGCATGCGCAGAGCACCCTTCAAACTATTCAAAAGCAGAGCCTTTGGCATCGATGCTTCTCCAGCATGCCTGGGATGTCCTCTGGACCCCTGCTGTGCTGGCACGAGAACGATTGCTGGAGCTGAAGGGCCCCCGCATGTAAGGAACAGCCGCTAAAACCAGTGAAGGTGGAGTATACAAATCCAAAACTTCACGCTTTGCTTTTGCAAAGGCGCCCCAGGGTCTCTCCTGTGGCCAGATCCATCCTTAGCTCTTCCCCGACAGCCCAATGACTGAATGTTGAAGCAGAGATCCAGATCCAGTCCAGCCGAGGCTCTTGTACTCTAAGCCTGGAGGGCAAGCAGCTCCCTTCGGGACAGGCTGCCAGTCCTGCGAAGATTCGAACTCAGTCGTGATAGGGGCAGTGAGCAACGTGGAGGCGCTTTACACGCTCGAGACAGCTTCCAGCACCTTCGAAATGCTGACGGGTCCATGAACAAAACGTAACGAAACAAGAGCAACCCCCAACTGCGCAGTGGAAAATCTTGTAACCGAGACTTGTTTCGATCCGGGGGCATGCTGCCATACTGCGCGCCTGCGTTGCCGTAAACTTGGGTCTGTCAGGATCACCACAATGTAAACGAATCCTCACTTGTCAAGTGTCGTGATGGGATGTCTGGGAAACAAGCAGCAATGTGGACATGCCCTTGCCGTGTCCCTTCCGAGCGGCCCTTTGAGCGCTTGCTCTGGATTCCCTATAAAGTGCCTGATGAACTCCGCCTTGTTCAAGACATCATCCGCCGATGTCCTGGCGGTCACAGATACTTTTCATGTCTCTCAGGTCCAATAAACATTTCTCCAGACTAGCGGATGGTCTCGAAGCTGGCATCACAGCGAAGGAATGAACGCGCACAACATCGAACGAAGCTTGCAACGTACGAGCTCCCCGGAAACAGCATCATCTATCGAAGCGGAACACTCTCGAAGGCAGCGAAGGCGCAAGAGGCACCACCGCCCTTCCGCGGAGCCCAGGCGGCCTTTGGGTGTTTCTAATTTCAGTAATTATTTACGGCCCATTTATGGATTGTCGGGCTCGGGTAATTTGCACAAACATGTTTCCGCACCTGTCTAAGTGTCTGAAAAGCCGAACTTCGTCACAGGCGCACTCTAGCACGATCCTTTCTGGGTCAACCGAGCAAACTCAAGACGTGCTTACAGGAGGTTCCCTGGCATGCCTTGGCCCTCAAAGTCTGCTTGGATTTGCTCTAGATCGCTTCCAGAGATCTCAAAGAGGGCGCGGACCTCAGCATGGATCCAGTCAAAAACTCGGGTGTTGACCGGACACCTATGACACTGAACCTGTTGCAACATTCCCAGCTTTGGCTTCTTCGTCCCTACGCGTGTCCTCAGCACCTTCTGGAAGACAACGTTACTGCACCCGTTAACCGCAAGGCGATCCAGCCATGCCACGGCAGGAGACTTCTTCAAGCCAATCAATAATTCCTTCCTCGTCAGCTTCCCATCTCCGTTCTTGTCCACGAAACTGAATATCCTCTAGTGCGAGGGCTCTGCACTTCGTGTCGCGTATCATGCTGGACACTGCAATTGCTCTGGTCTCCTCTGAATTAAGCAAAGTGTCTGGCCCAGCTGGGCCACCTGGATGTCGGTCAGGTATCCAGGGCCCGGCTCGCCTCCTGGCAGCTTTCGGCTCTGCTGGCTGTCAATTTCAGCTCCAACCCTCGGGTCCTGCCATGCTTCTCCTGAGCCAAGAGAGCATGGCATAGTCGCGTTCGGACCGAACCGCTACAACAGCTGAGGCACTGCTCCACGGATTTAACGGATCTCAAAGACCCGACATTCAAAGGCGATGCCGGCTGTCCTGGACTTAAGGCGAATGGATAGGTTGCAGTTGATTCCCATCTAAACGGCAAGGGCTTCGATTGTGACGGGCCTTGCCCTTCCTCGGTGTCCACACTCGCCAGCGTAGTCGAGCTGCTTAAAGTGTTTGCTATGATTGGAGTGGCCTCGTTGGAGGCGCTCGTGGTGCCCGCGGTGCCATGTGTACCTGTGGTGCCCCTGACAGCTCCCGGTAGCAGAACCTCACCAGTCTGCGGCGATGACAAGGATGGCGATGCTGACGTGGCACTTAAGCTCGCACAAACACTCCTGAGTCTTTTGGCAAGCAAAGCCAGATTGTAGCAGCTATCTTATCTCCCGCCGAGACATACCGAAACCTAAACCCTGTTCTGCAGTTGTGATGCAGACGAGCTTGATCCGAAGAAGGCGCATCACGGTTCTCGGGAGCAGAGTTCCTCGGTCCGATTCCGTAAGAACTGGCATATTCCTGCGATGGACCAGTTCGCTAGGCCCTAGCTTGACAATGATTGATGTTTTTCAGGTGCTGCCTGGAGCATTTTCTCTGTAGCAGCATACGTAGTATAGTATGTACTTGAGACCTCGAAGGCGCCGCTTAGACACTGAGTAAGGGACGTAATATATCGGCCGCTTGCTGGGTTTCGGCAGGGAGTTGCACGCACAACAAGCTCCGCTGAGGACCGCACTCAAATAGGCACCCACTGCTTCAACTGTGTGCTCTGAAGGACCAAGGACCCTTCAGAAGACCCCATCTATCTTCGTCTCAACACGATAAACAGATCGCTAATTTCTGTGAAAGCTTGCAGGACTTGTGCCGAGTCTCCTTCGCATGGCAGTCGCTCTTCCGGGTGTTTTCCTATAGCTGCGAGGTCCAGGACCATTTTCGATCCACGTCGCCTGCGGAGCCTTTGGAGCTCGTCGAGACTTGGATGGGCTGGCCGGGCTGGCAGGAGTTGGGGCGCTGGTCAGGCTGGTCAGTGGGCTTGCCACAGGACTTGCCATGGGACTTGCCACTGGGCTTGCTGTGCATGACTCCACCACGGCCGCGCAAGTCTCAATTTCGATTTTTTCGACCTTCCTCGTCACCGACTCCGATGTCTTCGTAGTCCCAGTGGTGGCTTCTGATGGCGCTGGCGCTTCCTGTAAATGGGATTTTGCCTGGGAAGCGCCACATCCCATGGCCGTCTGGCCACTAGCCCCAACACCACGACATTCAGACCGGCTCTGGGTTTCCCCTGAGCACCACTAGCTGCGGGCAAAGCCAAGCATGCACGGCTTCACTTCGACTCATGCCAGACTCATGAGCAAGTGAACGTCGGGCAAAATCGACACCGTCGAGAAAGGACATGCTTGCAAGCAGATACTGGAATTCCCTCGATGGCCTCGAGATTATCTGCAGTTCGCCAATCCACAGCTGGCAGCTGTTGCACGTTGAATTCAATGTGTTTCGTAGTCTTGCCTCAAGAGCCATCCTAGACTGTGCCGAAAGTCTCCAACTCAACGATTCATGGATCCTCATGCGTTGCTACCTGGAGGCCTAGAGGTCCTGGACGCTCTGCTGACTACGTGAACACGAGATTGACGAACATGCAAAAGGCAGGTGGAGCATGCTGTAGGCACCGTGCCGGCATCGGCATTAGGCTTTTGACGCAGCTCGTCGCAAACAGCGACGGCAGCTTGCGATGCCTGGAAATACCACCTTCGCAGTCATGTGGAGGGACTCCGACCAAATCGCCACTGAGAAATGCAAGTACTTGGCGCAGGGCTTGCCGAGAACGTCTGCACCACCGACCTTGTTCGGCGAAGTTCTGGCATTCAGCTATTCTCTGCACAACTCCTACACCCTCTGCCCGAGGTGGAAACCTGCACCAAGGGGTCCACCGGCAAGTTCCTAATGTTCTGCGCAAGTTCCAGCTTCAGAGGAAGACGCTTCAAGACCTGAGTGGCAGAAAGAACTGGCGCGACTCTTCCGAAGTAGACACTCCTTCAGATCCTCTGCGCAGCACAGGATTCTCTGCGCATGGTCACCATGACTGCACAGCTGCATAGCTAGAACCCTCTCCACATCGGCCACAATTACTGCATAGGTTCGGGCTCAGGTTAACATTGGCCGATGAAGGCTTCGGGCATTTTTTCCCTGACTGCCCTGCCCCAATGACAAAAAGGCATGGGGGGGGGGAGAAAAAAGAGGCAGATAAGGAAGAACAGCAGACACAGACAGAGGGAGTGTGAGATTTTGAAACAACAACGATGCACAAATGCAGAGCCAAAGACGGGGGATGCACAGAAGCGCAGACAGCCGAGAGTGAGGGCGAGGCATATACACGGGCGGCACGCCCTGGACGGCACAAGCGGACAGACAACCACAGAAGCAGGCCGAGGCCGCTCCGGGAAAAAAATCCTCTGCAGCTTGTTGCTTCCGTTTGTTCCATCTCCTCGAACCGTTTCGGATGCTTAATTAGTCTTCGGCAACGGCGTGAGGGTATGGCATTGGATCCGAGGTTTCCTGTGAATGCAGCTTGTCCCCCTGCATGCAGGGTCAGGCGATGGGCCATTCAGCTGTGACTGCCCAGCATGCTTCGGATGCAACGTTATCTCCTCCTGACTCGTCCTTCCTCCTTCCTTGCCCAGCCTCCTCCTTTTGCGTTCCCTCCCTGCTTGTTCCGCCAAAGCCAAATCGGCAGCGCAATGGCACCGACCCTGGAGCAAGCATTGCTCTGGGGCCTACAGGACACCACAACTTGGTGTTACTAGTACGGCAGCGAAGAGATTCGCGAAGCTATGCCCGTGAAGCAAACCCAGGTCTCGATGCATGTTGCGTGAGCACAAGCTGTTTCTGTGTAGCTGTCGCTTGACAGAGATGCTGCAGAGAGCACCGCGCTAGCTTAAGCTCGTCGTTCGCCCTGTTACTCCCAACAAATCTCAGCTGATCGTCGCTTTTTGTTTCTTTGCCAGGCCCTCGTCACCACATCATTACGCCGGGAAATGCTTCCATCCATGCTGGTATGGTGGTCCAGTGTCTGGACACAAGCGCTGTTCCACCAGCACTTATCTCGTGGAGTAACTTGTCTCGGAATCAATCAGAGCGGTCACATGTCGTATGCTTCTAGCATGCAATGAAAGCGTTGGCACGGCCCCTCATGCACCCATCGGACTGCTCCATGACCAATCGGATCAACCAGTGCTTTTGCAGCAGCAGGCTTGACGGACTTCTACGGCAAGAATGTCACAAATGTGCAGCTTCTTGGTGTGCTCACTTGCAAGATCTGTTTATGCAACGTTCCGTCAGGAAGTGGAGATCCGATTTTCAAGTCAATCCGCCACATGTGCAAGCATTCCACGATCGTAGTGTTTATCCGTTGTGACATGGCCACGCACCTGCCGGTTATGCTCACTGTTTTTCTTACTACGCAGAGCTCCAAAGTCAAAAGTAAACGTGTCTTCGTCTGTTTGTTTGCTTGCTTGCTTTGCTTGTTGGTGCATGTGTGCGTGATCGACGAGGAAGGACGAAACAGCCAGGGAACATGCGAGAGCCGGGAGGGGAAGGAGGCGGGAGAGAGACAAAGAGAGAGCTGCTGGGCTGAAGCTCCAGCTGTGGGGTCGTGGCCTGGGCTTAAGGCAAGATTCTCTAATTGCAGTTGACCGTCGAATACTCTGCTGAGTACATAGCCGATTCCGCGGTCTCCACGGCATGCTCGTCCTCACCGAAACGTGGATCCCCGCAACTCGCCCGAAGCCCTGAAGTCGCTGCACTGCCAAAGGAGTCCTTGACATTCTCTGACCCTGCAAGGCCCAAAGCCTTCCGCAGAGCTGGCCACAAGCCATTCTCTCGCCATCTTAGCACAGTCACAGCCGCAGGCTGCAAGAACCAATCAAGAGTGCAGTGCAAGGGCCCTGCTGTTCAAAGTCCTCTTCGATGTTTTGGTCGTCGTCGCCCTCTCCACGCTCGTAGATGCGTTCGGCACCAAGGCACTCCAATCGCTGATCTGCCTCAGCTCACAGCGAGCAGCAAATCAAGAATGCACAATCGCCGCAAGTTATCTGACCATGAGCTCCGGACAATTTTCGCACTTTGGTTGAAGTGGACGTACTGTCGATTTCCGCAGCCCATGATGGTGAACTTCATTCCCTGGCCCAACTGGACTGCGCTGGGCGGGTCACGAGCAGTCTCAATCAATGCACATCGCTGCGGAAGTTCACGCCACAAAAAACTGGAAGAATGCAGCCGCTTCAAGCCCGAGCTGGAATGAATGTCGTTCCGCACACCTACTTATTTACACCACCCGTTAGTCAGGCAGCTTTTGAAGTCAGACCTCGTCATGCAGACTTATGTGCCAGATGCTACCTGGCACATTATACGACTCCCGAGCCACCAAGGCCTTCAGGCAGTCTGAATCCACACTGTCATCTGCCAGCCTCGGCGGTAATGATCCGGCATGCTCCGACAATCTTGAAATGCTGCCACCTGAACCTAACTTCGTTTTGCGACTATGGTCTTACTCAGTAGTCTCAATAGTCGCCGTGACATGAGGCATACCTTCCTTTTCTTTGGTATCAATGTCCGCAGATTCGGCATGCTTCGCCGCGTCTCGGCAAAGCGGCCACTTGAAGAACTCCGTGGCATTGTCCGTGGGATCTCCCTCGCCGTACGTGGCGAGTACCATGACCACGGCCTCAGACGACAGGACATGGCATGCCCAGAAGTGGCACAGTTCATGGAGGGCTCTCCCTGTGTGCCTTGTGCGTCTTGAAAGTGTCTGGATCGAAGTCCTGGCGCCACAGAGAATTCAGCAGCATACCTGCCTCCTCGAACCAAGAGCACATCCTCCAGATCGACAACTGTGGCACCAATTTCGTGATTTGCGGCCTCCTCTGCACGTGGTTCTGCGACAGCTGGGTCCGTGCACGCACGCCAACAATCCATGTTGAACTCCTGCTCTAGCTCCTGTGCGAATCCTTCTGCCGTCCCCGTCCTTTCACTCCAGGTTGAGGCCAGCATGCGGGATGCAAACTCTGCGGCTCAAGTTTGTACTTACTTGTCACATTCACGCCGCGGCACACAAGACACCCCTACGTGGCAGTACTCCGGAAATGCTGCCGCCAATGCAATAGCAATAGCAATAGCAGTGCTAAATTTGTCACCCACCTGGCACGCCAATGACAGCTCTGCAGGGTCACAACGGTCAACATTATTGCTATAGCAGTAGTACAAGTGACACAGTCATAGTCAGAGCCTTTGTTTTCCAACCCTCTCCGACGCCCGCACTCGGCGGGAGCCATAGCAGCCATAGCAATAGTAACAGTGATTGTGATAGCTATAGTCTTGAAATCAGAGCAGTAGTCATAGTAAGAATTGAAACAAGAATTCTGAATAATACCTTAATGCTAGTAATACTAATACTCATTAACCACGTGTTTCGAATTATTCGTTGTTGGCGTTTTCAGTGTGTTTCGTTGTTTGTGTTGTTCAAGTTTTGCGTGCTGCACTCAGACTCCGATTGCACACGACACGAAAAAGGCTCGCTTAGAGGGTGGCTTGGGCATGGCGTCCCCGCTACAGTATGCACAGCTTGTCAACGGAATCGCTCCAAATGAGCCTGCTCTTCAGAGCCTGTATGAGTCGCGACATATCTCTGCCCAGGCTTCGGCGACAGTTCTGCGTGCTGCGCATCATTGGCGAAGCTGCGATTGATCGCAAGCTGGGAGGCCGTGAAGGCCGACACCAAAGGACGAGCACTGGCACTAAACGACAGCGAAGTTGTTCAACGTGGGAAGGGCTTCTGAAAGGAATTTCAACGCTTCAAAGTCCACGGCTCGTTAAATTCTGATTGAAGGCTCGTGCAGCAACACCGAGAGCCGAGAACAAGTTTCACCCTGCAGCTGCTGCGTGCTATCTGAGCTTCTGGGAACCGTAGTAGATCCAAAGATCGTCCGCAGTGCCTGAAGCTCTCACACTGCATGGCAAGACTCTGCAAGAAACTGCGCACAAGCAGGATGGATGGATCGGAGTCTTCTGCAACAGCCTTGGCTGGGGGCAGCACCGTTGGATGCCTTGGGGGTCGCCGAGCGGTTTCCCGGCGATTTGGGAGTTCCTGGCTCCGCAGCCTTTGTCTTGCTCGATCCAGTGCCCTTCACCCAGAGTAAACGGCAGATGGCGACCTCGAGTGCAATTCGATGCCGAAGCTGCGAGCTCTGCGGAACAGAGAATGCAATCCATGCTTCCGGCCGTGATTGCCAAAGCTGCTCCAAGTTTAAGCAGCTCGGTTGTGTCGGTCCTGGCAGCCGACGCTTCAGAAATTCACGACGTCACTATGTGTCAACGACTCGAGGAATCTGCCAAAATCTGACGCAGCTCATCGAAATCTTGAGCTGCATTCACATTGACTACAGTGGGGCCGGCTGGGCCTCATCTGAAATTCCGGACGGCCTGTGCGACACGAAACGCCTGCAGCCGGCGCGCACGTGATTGGCCCAGCGATCAATCAAACTGGCCGACCGCTTCAATGAGCCTCGCAGATTCGCACAGTTGCCGTCCCTCCACTCTCGAGCCAGAAATGTTGTGGGAAACAAGGCGTGCTCGTGTGGTTCCCGATGCTCCTCTCCTTGGCATGTCTCGTTGGTTCATCTTTATCGTAGGCTCAACATCGCCATCCCGAGGGAAGCTCATGCAGCTCCAGCTCTCTCCGCTCTCTCTGTGCCTGCACCGTGCCTGACCTGTCCAGCTTCAAGCTCAAGGCTGGGCTTTGTCTACCTGCCAGCCAATGGCCAGGGCCAAGAATACCCCCGTCCCGTGGCCCTTGCCCCGCGGCGTGCCCTGCCAGTCAATCGGGCGAAGGAGATCGACGAGGTAGTTGTTGTACAGCTCCATCCTGTCGCCAGCCACAGCAACTCCCTCGACTCATGGCCGGAGGGCATCTTGTGAAGCGCTAAATGAGGCTCACACATCGACCCCATGACTGTAACATTCGCCTTGGGAGCTTGGCAAATGAATCTCCAAACGTTGCCATGCACCTCCGAATTTCTTTGGCTCCCCACCTGGGGTCGCACGTCAACCTGCCAGTTCACATGCCTTCTTGGCCCCCCGATGATGCCTGGCTCCCTGCTCCCGCCTGTGCAAAAACCTCGCCAAACATCCGCTGTGCCAAACCATCTTCTTCTGGAGTCCCATACCTAAGCCAAAGGCCCCCTCGGAAGGGCAAATATATAAGGAGCAGTCGCTTGAAAGTGATGCCTCCCCTTCATTGCTCTCTCCTCCCCTCTTTTGCTTTCCTTCTGTTTTGTCGTGCTTGTGGTAAGTGGATTTCTGCTGTTTGTGGGATATCTCGGGCCTGGCGGCAACTGGGATGATAACCGTCCCTGTTTTACGTGGACAACATCCACAGCTTGGAGCAAGCCGAGAAGGCTTACCTTTCTGATGTATCTCGGCTGCCGAAGAAGATGGTTCCAGCTGCAGCACTTGGTGCGGACGGCACAGGTAAGGTCCCGGCATGGTGTAAGTCTTGCCAGCGCCAGTAATGCCGTAGCAAAACACCGTCACCTCAATAATTGATCGTTTCCCCCACCGCACCCCACCCTTTTACCCCACCCCACGTTCATTTATGCCCCCAGCATGTGACCACTTCTGCACGCTGCAGGCTTGAAAGCGGCTTCGAACAGGAAAACCCTTGAACCCATGCAGGGCTGCAGGGCTGGCCCCTGCCAAGGCCACCGAGGAACATTTTGACCGTCCACAGCAGACTGGGCCAGGTCACAGCAATCCTCGAAGACGTCAGCCTCGCTGATGCCAATCAAAACCAGAAAGCAGAGCCATGTTCGAATCTACTTGTGTTTTGCCTGCGAGTCGGAACTCCCGAAAATTCCATCCTCGGCTTCTGTTGTGCCGAGAGCCATCTGCCCGTTCTGGGAACGCTTGGTTGCTCAGAAACCGAGGTGGAGACGAATTCGAAAACGTCCCCAGTGCTACGAACCTGGAACATGTTTCGCTGCTTGGTGAAGTTCATAGAGGGCAGTGCTTGCAGCCTCGAGGGTGCTTTTATCGACGACCTGCATTGCTTCCTTGTCGCCAATCCGTCTTTCTCTGGAGTTCAGGGGCCTGACCTCATTGCCGTCGACGGGTGCAGCTTCAACAAGCCTGCGAAATCAAGTCTCCAAAAAGGGCCCAGCTCGGCAGTAGACCCGTAGTTGGCCCTTCAAGTCCTGGCCACCCATCGGCCCGCCCTGGCATGTCTGGCCCCAGCTACCCAAGTGACTCAGAGCTCCTGGTAGAGATGATGTAATCGACGCCGCTGCTGTTCAGCCGTGGCCAGCTCCTCCTGTCCAAGCTCGCGTGGAAGAAGCCGCAAGCGGCCTTCTTGCGGGCTGGGGCCGGGTCGGGCCTCGGACAGACCGGCAGCTCGGCCCTTGGCGATGGCCTGACACGGCACTGATCGCTTCATGTCCGAAAGGCCGGAGTCTATGAGCCTGCCGAATACAGTCACGATCCTGCACAGGTCAAGTTGGCAATGGCACAGCCTCTGACTCTAGGACATGAAACGGCCTGCTTCACTTGCTCCAAGGAAAGCCCCTCCGTGCCGAGATCTCGAGAGGCGAGTGCGAGCGCCTTGGAGCTCGCTCCTCTCTGCTAGTCCCTCTTCGGGTCTCATGGACCACATGCGCAGTGCAAGAAGTCGCTGCCATTGAAGTTTGAAAAAGCAAACGGTCAACGTCAAGGCCTCCGCGATCTCCTTCAGCGCGAGGTCCTGGAGCCGTTGAAACGCAAAGTCACTGGTCACCGCTGGGGAGCTGACAGCTATCCAAGCGCAGTCAGAGCCCTCTGACAAGCCCAAGCCCAAAACTGCTCGAGTCGGGACCATAACAGGAGATGCAACCACCCAATCTTCCGGCTAGCGCTACTGAAGCGAAACGCCGGCCTGCGCGGGCACTGGCAGCTCGCAGGATGTTTGCACGCCTTGTTGCACGCGCTTCTTCCGCACTAGGCAACTGAAATGGTGGCTGGGCTGGCAGCCCACGGAGGATGATGTCGACACCTGCCTGGGTATCTGCCCACGGAGCTTCCGAATGTCAGCGGCTCTCTTGCGCTGCCACAACTATGGATAACTAGGCAGCCGACTGCTGGTCGCTCCTAGTATTGTCTTCCTGCACCTGAACGGAATTCGATCTCTGGATCTATGGACGCATGCCGGGTTTGCTGACTGGAATGCCTTCTGGGTGGCATCAAGACTGGGGATATCTTGCTTGGGGGCAGCGGCAGCCTTTCAGAAAATGGCCAGCAGTGTTCAGAGGCTTAGAGATTGAACTGGGCATTGACCCAACACGTGCACTCAAAGCTGTCCACCGCTACCGCAGAGCCGGCAGAGGTGCGCACGGGCACCTGGCTAACGACCTGCAGGCGTCGTCGCAGTGCCACGTGAGAGCTCGAGAAACTCTAGACTCTAGATTTTCGAAAACACTCAGAGCTCAGACTGAAAATGCCAGCCGTACTGTGAAGCAGCTTGAAACTCGGCTCTCCACCCTCGGCGGCGCGACGCGAACTGTCCTGGCCAGAACAATGCAGTGAAGCTTGTGCTCGGCAGGGGATGTCATGTCTCTGCGCCTTCGAACAGTAACGGGAGCCGCAGAGCAGGAACCAGAGCTGTGTCCATAGCCGCCAACATAGCCGTGTGTGAGGAATGGCGCCTGCAGCCCACGCAAAGTCAACAGACCTGACTTGATTCTTGATAGAGCGAGCTGGTGGTCACACCTGGGTGGTTTGACTTTGTGGAGCCGCGAAATGCTTCGGAGGTTGAATCCTTGGGTAGCCATGTCGCAGTGGCATGGACAAGGGCGATGCAGCAACGCCCTGCTCAAGTCTTGTCTTGTAGTGGCAAATGTCAAAGCTTGGGCGAGGTGCTGGTGGAGGAGATGCTGGACGCGAGGCGACATAAGCGGCTGCAGGATCCTGGCATGCAAGTACAAGGCATTGGCAGAAAGCAGGAATCTAACACCTGCGAAAGCAAAATGCTACAGCAGTGCTACAGCGATGTCCAATCAAGGCATCAATGCCCTCAAGCAGGCAGGGACTGCTGGTTGGTGGCGGCCAGTTGGGCCTCCAAGCGCCTGCAAAGAATGCAAGGCAAAGGTCCGAACTTCTCAACAAGACGTAAAGTAAACACTCATGCGAAGACATATTATGACATGGACACGTCGTGTTGCGGAATCGCGGCCGCGGCTGCCTGGACTGGTCTTCTAGCTGCTGCCGGGCCGTTGCTGCTTTGACCTAAGCGCGCGCAGAGCGGAGCGCGCAACGCTGCTTTGCTTTGGGTTTTTGAGGCTGTAGTTGTTCCTTCGTTCCAGTTCAGGAGATGGTCGCATAGTCGCGAGGGCGTTTACTGCTCTTCGACAGTTTAACCTCCGCTATGCCTGCGTTATGTCCTACTGACGGACCATCCTCGACAGGCAGCCGCTGCACAATGACCCCGGCAGCACCTCCCCCAGCAAGTGCTACAATGAATTGAAAGATGTTTCCGTGTCTCCACCTGGCTTACTTCTACTGCTGCCCTGGTATCATAAGTAAGTTCATCAGTTAGTACTGTCTCGCCCCGCCGGGATCCGCGCTGCTTCTTGCCGCATGGCTTCTGAAGCAGCTGCAAGTGCCTTGCAACGTCCGTTCAGATGCATCCCAGGCTGTGCCAACAGACCAAAGGCATCGGCTGCTTGTGCTGCGGACACAATGGAGCTGTCATCACCTTCGGCTGCTCTAGCAGAAAGCTCCGTGCCGCCCGCCAACTCAACAGTTTGCTGCTGAGTTCAAGACTGTGGGCTGCAGAATAGTTGGTGTAATTCGTGTGGGCCTCTGCGGAAGTTTGGGAGCACGAGTTGTTGCGGTCTTCGGGGGCTGAAGATCGGGTCGGGCACACGCCAGAGCGCCACGCTTTGAACTCGAAACTCTCGAAACTTCGATTGGACAAATTCTGCGCGTGCTGACCGGGATCGTGTCGGATGCTGAACATTGGATACCGACTTGTAGCAGTGGGAATGAAAGCTTGTAGTGGTTGCGCTTGTCTTGTTCATCCTGGTTCTGTGCAGCACTGAAACTATGGCAGCCGGAAGTGCAGGAACCACAAAGATCGTCCGCGGATGGTCTGAGGCCGAGGGGCCGTGGAAGCAACAGAAATGCTCCGGAAGACGTTGTCTGACCTCGACAGGCCATGCGAAGCAGAAACAGAAGCAGAAGAGATTTTGAGGAAGTGAAGACTGAACTGAACTGAAGTGTAAGTGCAATGCGTGCCGCCATTTAAGCCCCAGGCAGGTGCGGTGGGATGACCGCAAAGCTGGGAGTTACGGCTCCGCTGGCGGGGGAGGCACACAGCACTTGCACGCGTTCTGCACCCCACGCCTTCGTGGGGGCAGGGGGCGTCTGGCTTGTCGCTCGCTTCGGACTGGAGCTAGGGACGTCATCCGGGAGCTCCTCCAGCTTGAGCGGTGCTGGCACGGACTTGTTGCCCGAGCGGAATCTAGGAGACTTGACCTCGTTGGGCAAGCCGAAGGACACTTTGCCCTCGCCACTTGGACTTCCCGACCCCGGTGATCGAGGGGAGCCCCTCGGCGAAAGTCTTCGACTTTGAAGCGTACCTCTCAGCCTGCTCTTTGACAGCGGTGAGGGTGGGCCGAACATCTCCAAATGGCTTTGATGGCCACCGCGGCCCAAAGCCACGGAATCTACTTCAGATGCTTGAGCCCCCAACAGCAGTGGCACTTTTAGAATGGAGTGGGAAGCAGCAAGATAAAGTCATGAAGCAGAAGCACATGCAGTGAACAAGCGCAACCTCTCAGGCGAGACGCCAGCATTCAGCTCTTGTGCGAGTTTCGCCCAATGCAGCTCGTCGTCTCGCCGAACACCCAACCCTCCCGCATGGTTTCGCAAAGCTTGAAATTCAAATTCCAAGCGCCCAATTTTCCGTGTTCTCCAGTGCACACGATACACAAGGCTTCAAAGGACTCGGCACATCACCTCTTGTGAGTCTGTGTTGCTGGCGCCATTCCCCTTCGAACAAACAGCTCGCTTGAGGGCCACACTTTGGGTTAGCTAAGTGTGACCCTGGCAGCACTGACCTGCAAGCTCGACTTTTTGACTTCCAGCGTGAAGTGTTAAGGCTCTGTGTGCAGTCTGGCAAACCTTGGTGTTGCACGCTCCAGAAAGTTTAAACAAACACTTCTAAATGCATCCACGAAGGGAATTATGCATGACACGCACTGCTCGTATCTGCACTTCAACAAGCCACGGGGGCTTGAACCAGCTGGCCCACACAGTCGGCACCCCTAATCATCTCATCAATGCTCTGGGATCTAAGTGCTGCACACCGGTAGCAGTGAAGGGCCTCGAGGAGTAAACCTGGGTGCCACATGCGGGGCATACCCCATTTACACGATTTCTCCATAGCATCCTTAAGGGCTCATGGCTCATGGTCCTAGACTCCGAGCTCCAAGCCCCAATTGCCACACATCCCAATCCTCCCAAACGAAACTCCAAATCGCCCCAACCAGACGATCCTCCAACCCTTGGAAATCCCTCACAGACCTCCGCTGAAAACTCGAGCGCTGTGGCGGAGCATTCAACCCAAAGCCCCATTCTCTAAAACCCTCCAGCCCAGCAAGCCCTGAAGCGAAGCCCGAGAATTCGGATACACGACACGAACAAGAGTCCTTCGGCCGGGCGGCAGGCGCCACATCGGCTGCGGGTTGTCCCTGGGCGTCTACTGATTGGGTCTTTCAATGCTAGTCTGTAGTTTCGGGTCGTGGAGGCTTGAGGGGTTCGACATTCGACTTTCGGGATCGAGTGGTTAGGGATTAAGCGTTTCTGAACCCGGGAAAGGGTCGTCAGCTTCCTACAACGCTTATCGTTTGCCGGCTGCCGCCGATCAGAGAAATCAAGGTGCCAATGTCAACGAAGTCTGTTATAACCTCAATCTTACGCGGACCGGCTCTTGTCTGCATGTTCCCTGCATATTTCCGGACGGCGCTGTGGCCTTACAACTTCTTCCTCGATGGCCACGGCCACATCTGCAGTGAAGCTCGGACGAAGTCCATCCCATCATCCCATCCTCCTCTCTCCACCAGCGCCGCAGTCCCGGACGCGCAGCGGACGCGCAGCAAGTCCGCAGATCGAAGTCACTGGCCAAGCTGGCCCGTGCTCGGGTCTCCACTCCGCTGCACGGTGCCAAGTCGCAGTGGGAAGGCCGCCCAAAGCCGCAGGCAGACTCCTCGGCAAACGCATGGGTGATCCAGGCGGAGCACCAAACTTGCACCGAAAAGCACAGGAGCACTGAGGGCGTGTCACTCAGCTGTCAGGGAAGCAGGAAGTAGGCATTCCAGACGATGACACTCGTGCCAGGAAGCTAAGCATGCCTTGTCGAATGGAATCAATTGAGCAAGCTATTGCTTCGACCGATGACGGCCGGTCGTTTCACAAGATAGTCGGCGCTGTCAGGTTGTGGACAGTTCGGACGAAGACTGAAGCTTGGGCCTGGATGTGTTAAATCGTCGTAGCACAGGTCGACGTCCGGGTACTCCAAGACGCTGGCGTTCAGATGATGAACACACTCCCACCATGAGATTAAGCACAGTGTGCACAGGAAACAACGGACATCCCACATGAGCCATGGCGACGGCGCAGTCGGGACTCGTGAAGGCGATCACCAGCTTAGGTTAGCCGCAGTCCGGGTTCGGAGCCCGAGGTGGCACATGCCAGGGTAGAGAAGGCGCGTCATTCGCGCAAGCTTTCAAAATCCACATCGGTTCTTGCAACAATCGGAACGGGTGGAGACGGCCGAGAGGGTACGAATGCAGAACACGGTCGCCCGTAGCCAGAAGCAGGAGCACCGCATGATGGAATAAAAGCACCGTGGCACAAGTTCTGAAGTGGCATGGGAGCTTGGAAAATCTCGTTAGCATCAGGAACTGCTGCAAACACGACCAAGGATAGTAAGCTGGGCCGCGTGTCGGTCTTAGCATCTTCGCGTGCAGCTGGCCACCCTTGTTTCTGCTTCTTGGTATCTTTGCAGTTCGAGGACATACATCAAGCCAACACCGCCAAGGGCGAAGCGGAACACCAGCGCGTGCATCATGTTAATATGCTTACTTGCTGCCGACCTGCTGGGCCTACTGCACTTCTGGAGCCCGATTCATTTGCAGTATACGGCCGCACATTGCGAAGTGCGACGAAACGACCGCCCTGAGAGATGGGCATGACGGATGTCACAGCGGTGCCTGTCGACAGGACGTTGCCAAGAGCTAGCCGAACCGAAGCAAGCACAAGCTCAGCACTTTGTCGAAACTCTGAAGACCACAAGCACTTATGAGCCACTGTGCGCTCCTGATGGAAGCTCATTGCCAGAGCGGCTGGTGAGGACCTCCTTTGTGGTCCTGGACTGGGTCATGCTCGGAACAATGACAACAGGCACAGCACTTGGGCATGCTCACTCCTGCCATCAACACTGAGCCAGGCGTGGAAGCCAGCAAGCATGAGGACACAAGGCAGCAGCACGGCTGCCTGCTACCACGAAGAGGAAAACCAACAGTGGCAGCATTCACCGTAGCTAGCAGCCACCATGGAGTGCTTCCAACAGCTGCGCAACACAGCACCGCTACACCGTCTTTTCCCCAGCCGGCAGAAGCTTCCGGGCGCTGCAGAACTCGAGGAAGCGCACATATTCTTGCTTTAGAAAATGCGAGTTTCAGGCCACTCTCGCAACAACAGTACGCATCCGGTATGGAAACTCGAATCTCTTCTGCACCTAGACACAAAGTATCTTCCTTTAATCCCTGTCCCTGTCGAACTAAAAAAACCCTAGGGAGTGCAGTTCAACCGGGGGTCACGGTGAAGTCCGACGCAGCTCCCCGAAAACTTGCCAAACCCGTAAATTGCTAAATCCGTGAGCTCGTCTGAACGGCAAGATGCTCTGCTGGCAGCAGTGTCACCCTTGCAGCACCAAGAATTAAGGACCATCAGCATGACGCGGAGAGCTTGCATCTTTCACGAAAGCCTCGACCAAGGTGTAAATTCCGGGGTCGTCGATACCCAGGTACTGACTGAACTCTCTTCCGTGCAGCTGCTGCAGATTCAATAGCAGATTCCCTGCTGCATTAGGCTCACTGGAAAGATCGGCGAACGAATTGAGGAAGGTTCGGATCGTGAACAGAATGCAGGATGAATTTTGGCGCAGTCTGCGCAATGTTTGATATTCGACCTTCAGCCATGCACTGTCTGCCAAGCCGTGTGTCAGGACAGCCTGTCGCAGTCGCGTCAAGGACGCTTCTCGCTCTCGTGCTGAGATTCCCGGGTTCCGGTGAGGATATCGACTGTACCCGGCCATGATGTCGTCACTCCACGATATGTTCCAGTTGCTGCGACAAAGCGGACGATCCGGCGACAACGAGGCAAAGATCCGATTAACAGGCTTCTCCAGATCCGCACCATACTGTGGGACTTTGGCATGCAGCTGGTTCATGTCCATACCGAACCGCTTGTGGAAATTGCTGAAACTGAACATGACGGACCCGGCGCACACCACACCATCCTGCAGCACGACGAGATCCTCACAGACAAGGCGAGATGCCAGCTCGATCGGGCAGTTAGAAAAGTCTCCAACCCTGTACTCTGCGTGCCAGCCATGAGCAGACGTCGTGACCACAGTGTCTGGCCCAAACTTCACAGGACCGTGCGAGACGCGAAAGCAGTTGGGATACCTTCGGGGAAGGTATTCAAGCAGCATCTCCAGGACCTCTGCTTGGGCTTCGATCGAGCCGGGCATCTGCAAAAGGTACTTCTCGCGATCAGGCGACGCGAAGGTCTCGTGCTTCCGCTGCAGCATCTCTCGAGCTTCTGCAGAGTTTCGTCCTCCTGGGCCTCGGCTGCAAGCGAAGGAGGCGCGAGCACTGGACCCCTCGCCTCAGCGTGCCACACCTTTGCGTTGCCAAGCTGCCAGTTCGTTCTTCCACGAGGATCCACTCGCTTTCGGGGAGCCGGTGCAGGTTCGGTTTCAAGCGTCCGGTCTTCGGACTTACCGTCTCTGTGACGCCTCGGCCTTGGGCATTCGCGGTCACAGCAGTAGCGTCTGCGCACTTTCGAAGTCCAAGCAGCTCAACCAGGTGAAAGCCGACCAGTGGCGGACTCCGCTTCGGGAAGAGGGGGCAAGGCGCAGAGCCAACATCGCGGAACTCTGGCACTTTCGCCTGGCTGCGAGACTGCAATTTGAGAGCCCAAGCCAAGAGCAGGCACCGAATGCCAATGACAACGCACTAAATTGATCTCGCGACATAACTTTGCAAGGCCCAAGGCCCACCAAGTCGATCGTGACACAGAAGAGAGTGGGCAGCATGAGCTTTTCGAGTTGAACTGGCTTCTCGTGCCGTCAAAGATCGCCAACCCTGCTGAGCTGAGAAGCGCGCGGGTGTGAGGGCCTTAGCGCAGTGCCGACGGATTCGTTGTACGTGGAAGTGCTGTGGTTCGGCATTGTCGTAAGGCCATAAAAAGCGGCGGATTGCTCCGGATGTTGTCGGCATTGCTGGTAAGCGAGCCCTTCTACAATGGAGAGCCTGCTACCCTGCCATGCAGAGGCTGATGCAAGCAAGAGGAGCGTTAGCATCTCGTCCGAGATGCCTCCGGCCTGCATGCACACGAAGAAACCGCCACTGGCGCACTTTTTTGGCACTCGGACTCGACCAGGTCAGGCGAGGATGCCAGAAGACAACAACTAGACCCAAGAGTCACAGCCACTGTCGCACTTACATGCATCGCTCTTGGGCAAAGACAGAGTGCGAGTACCACAAGCCAATGCCAGAGAGCTCGGCCACTCCCAAGAAAGCAATAGACCTTCAAGATGGTCACTTCCAAAGCACCGAGCTGCCATCTCTGGCTGGAAAGTGCCGGGCACAAGGAAGCTGGTAAAGAACACGTAGTTCCTGGTAAGCATGCTGGCAACTGCCCTGCACTGCCGAACGACAGAATGTCCTTTGGCCAATGCAGTTGTTGACGAACGGGCAGTGGTGATCAAACCTGCATGCAGTTCTTTATTTTCGCAGGCTTCACCAGCAGAGCATGGGGTGCCAGCTGGGCATCGACAAAGTGCGCAGCAAGTGAAGAGCGGTGCTGCTACTCACTGCTCCTCGTCAACTGTAAGACAATGTGAGCCCAACAATACAGTAATCAGAACATACGAGGTGCTGCTGGAAACACATCACATGGCTGCAAAGGCTTTGGCTTATGTAGGCTTTAGGCATTCGGACATCCCGGCCGCCTGGGAGTTGATGCTTATGACCCACGAGGATGTCAAGGTCGAAAAACGACAACCGGCGCCAGGAGTTTAGCTGCGGTGTGGTTGGGTGGGTGCTTGCCACGCCGTGCACGCCAGCGACGATTCTGGTTATAGATGCCTCGACTTCTATGAGCGCAACGGTTATATAAGAACGGACTGTTGGCAAAAGGACCAAAGTACCAGAAGACCCAGCGCTAGCAGACTACCCGAACACGGGACGGTAGGACTGATGGGACAAGGTGAAGACATGGTGGCCAATCAAGTCGAGTCCAAGCGTACTTTGTCCGCCATATCTCAAAGATGCAGCTTTTTGGAAGGTTTAAATATATCCTAAGCTTGATGCTCTAATCAACATGCCCTTCCTTCTGTCGTCCTTTCTTCCTTTCCGTTCGTCCGTCAGTCCTTCCTTCCTTCAGACCCGAAGGCAAGAAAAACACTCCTCCCCGCTCCTTGCCAAAAAGGACTCACGAAGGCCGAACCAGAACCCGGCTCTCTTTTATGGCGCTCCATGCTCGCACCCACTGCGATTGCAGCTCTCATTCCTCCACATCCCATCCATCCTCGCGGCCCCTCGCGTGAACATTCGACATGCCGGCCAAGCCGCAACTAACGAACATCCGACAGGCTTCGGAGCCCGCCCGTTGCCCAAATGGGGGAGGCTATATGAACTAACTAGCAACTAGAACTTGAAGTTACACAAAAAAAAAAGCAGCACTGTAGCCCCGCTACTCGGGTGAGCGGGGAGAGCATAAACGACATGGAAGGGTGTGCTGCATGCTATGCAACAACGCTACCCTGTCCGGTGCCTCAGGACGCAGTTGTCACAGTCGCCTCTGTGCGTCACACTCACGGTATGAAGCTGACGGCGGCATCGCAAGACACAGTTGCCGCAATTGTCTCAGAACACAGTTGTCACCGTATTCGAAACTTCTTCAAGAAGGAAGCCCTGCACGAGTCATGCAGTGAGCAATGAGCAGGCTGAGCACCGAGCGGTAAGCAGGTTGACCGCTACTCGTCTCCACGCGCTTGCTGTACAGTGGACACATATCGGAGGAGCAAACCTATTAGTAAAGAGAAGGCCTGATCTCAGGATCTGGCAACGTGCAGGTCTTTTAGAGATCCAAAGAGTTGTTGAATTCTTCTTGGCAGAGCACGACCTTCTGGTCACGGATTCTGTTTCGCAAGGCCGTACGTCCAACGGAAAGCTGTGCGATGGTCTTCACACTAGCCCACCGCTGGCTGCATTTTGGTGGTACTTCTCATGGCCCATGGATCTGTCGGGATCGCTGCCGAGATCAGTCATGTGAGCGTGGGCGAAGCCCCGCAGGCCTGTCACGTCTTGAAGCGACGTGGCCCTGTAGCGATTGAGCAGCTTCACCAGCTGCGGCTGCTCGTTGTCGGGCAAGCTCTCGATGACGGATTTGCCGAGTTTGCAACAGACCTCGTAAAGTAAGATGTGTACCAGGCCTATGGCAAGTTGAGGTGGCTCATCCAAGGTATGCAGCGCATCCACAGCAGCCTCTCGGAACCGCTCGCCCAGTGCGGTGGCACAGCAGATCAGCCGTGTGGCTTTCCAGCACTTGCCAAACAGTAGCGCCTCGGATGCTGCTCTTGAGTTTTGCAGGTCGCGAGTGGGTCCTTGACGCCAAACGACGAAAGCGTCCATAAGGCGCCGGGCGAGAGGTCGCAGGCGAACGGGTGGTTGTAGGTCGGCAGTAGCTGAAAGCAAAGCCCGACCTGCCAGCAGAGTAGACATGGGTTTGGGAGCCGGCCCGGACTGCGACTTGGTTGTGGGGACTCGACCACCTGAATGGCGAGCCGAGTGAGCAAGCCGGCGCGAAGCGGCGCCGGCCTAGCTCGGCTCGCCCTTCCGCACCTTGTTGTGCGGTGTGGGTCAACAGCATCCGCGGTGTCAGCAGGGACAGCTTCCATTCGCACGATGTGGCGGCAATGCCGCCAGGGCGCGCCACGCCGCGGGGCGCATGAAAGGGGGGACGTCTTGCAGATTAGGCACCGGGTGCTGCAGCCCCGTTGCCAAATGCCGTGGCTGGACAAGTGGGGACGCAGTCGCTGGGCGGCATAGCTGGATCCTCATGGGGCGTCGGGTGGCGGCGGCGGCGGTTGCGGCGATGGCGGCGTAGGCAAGGCGTCGCAACGTGCGGGGAGATTATCGCACGTCGTCGGCCAAACTTGGTGCAACCGCTGCCGCAACGGCCCCAGCATAAGACTCGAAAAGTGTGGACTTGCGAGTTTGCCTGTAGGAAACCCTAAACCAACACCCAAGGGCTTGAGCTAAGCTACCCCTTGTAGTTTGTGTACAGCTTACGCTTTTACCACTTCGCATCCGCAGCCCTTTTGTGGCTTCGAGAAAAGGGGGTCCTGCCTTGAGCCCGGTAGGACCCCGTAGGTAGAAGCCCGGCATTTCGCCATCGCATGGTAGCGGAGCTCTGCTGAGCACAGGGCCAGCAACTCAGCCCCGCGAGCTTCTCTCGAGAAGCTCGTGGCTGGCTGCGGGTCGCCCCGCCCTGAGGGGGAGATCAGAGGTCACCTGGGGCCGGGGAAAACCAGGTATCCCAAGCGAGGCTGGAAGCTTTGCGCGCGGACAGCCCCGCCCTAGAGCGAGGACTGTTCCTTAGGCACCCGGCCGGGCCTAGGAAACCGGGAAAAGGGAAGCGCTTCGGGCGTTTCCTTTTCTTTTTAGGTTCTACTTGCCAAGTGCGGGTTGAACCGCCCCTCCGTGAAGCCACGTCCGGTCAGGACTTGAATGGTGCGGCATGGGTCCGGAGGTCGGGTCTTGACTGGTGCGACATGGGTTTTTGCAAGAATAGGCCTGCCGGTTTCAACAGCTCTTCTAGAGTTGCAACGGCAGGCTCTTCTCGTGAAGGTTCTGCAAGCACCTGTGCGCCTCGCGCGCCGAAGGTTTGTTTTTTCAACGCTGCTGCAAGTCTCTCGTAGGAGGGCTGGAGAAGCCACCGGTGTGTTCCAAGGTTGCCGAGCAGATGGGGGGATTTGCATGGTCATGCATTCGGTCTGTGCAGGACTTGGAAAGTCTTGCCGATGCAGAAAGGTGTACACTGAAAGCTTTTCTCCTCCTGCGAGCCTCGTCAAACTTTGGCTTCCAGCCACTCACATCCTGTTCCGCGATGGCAGATGCGCGTGGGGCGTCAGCGTGGTAGCACGTTGTTTTTCCCCATCTCCATCCTGCTCGTGTAGTCAGACAGAGTACGTGATGAAGATGACCGCACGTGTCTTCTCGCTGAGCATCCCGATGGGATAACAAACACGTTTGCCTCGATCCTCTACTGGCAGTCTGAGGTCCGCATCTCGATCCTCGGAAAAAGGAGATGCCAGCAGTGGATTCTGCACAGGCTCTGTAGGAGAATCGTCGCACGGATCTTGCGATGCCATCTCCTTCTGGTAGATAGCCTCGGATGACCTACCAAGTGCCGTACTGGCACACTCTGGGGAATACGCCAGCTGTGCTACTGGCGCATAGGCCGCATAGGCGTCATCTCCGCTAGCACCGTCGTAACTGGAGAAACTGGTGTCGCTGGTGCAGGAGCCTTCTGTACTGGTGAGCTCGCACTAACTATCACTGACTGCTGCAGCTCCAAAAGCTTCAGGAGCTTCTCTAGCACAGTCGGACTCCAAAGCTTCCCTAGCATCGAGCATAACTGCATCCTGGACGGAACTCTGCGATGCGTCCCTGGAGGCATCTCCTCTTCGCATGCCGACTCCGGGTCCAGCTGTGTTGCCGCTGGCTCTTCCGCCTGAGTCTCATCCGGCTGGGCTCTTGCAGCCATCTCCTCACAAGGATCCATGGCATGCCTGTGCAACACCTGCCAGGGTCGGAGCCGGCAAACTGATGCGACATGTCTCAATGTCCAAACTCAAGTCGCATCTGTCAAGGTCCAGCCTACCAACCCGACATCTGCCAATCCATTGGCTGAAGCGAGAGGCCCAAGAACATCACGGACTGAGACCTCCACGACAATGCGAGGCGCGAGGTGGCCGAATGATGCGGCACGTCTGACAGAACCTGCAGGCTGCGGCGGGAAATGCGCAGAGAGAGCGATGGAAGTGGAGACTTGTGACATGCATTCACGACCGGAAACAATGGCAAGTCCAAAAACACTTTGCATGCGTGTAAGCTCCCGTCTGGTGCATCCTACGTTTCGCCGAACGTCCTATCAGGACGGATTGCACTTGTGGCAGTCGTAAGGTACAGGCACATCACCTAACCACATTGAGTGGTCTCTTTTGCAGGTGCTGCGCTTGGGCCTAATGCCGTTGCTACTGCGTCTTCTTCTGCAGATGCAAACATATGCAAACTGCGTACATCATGTTTGTTCATTCCGTCAACCTCAGCAACATAACATAATGCAACACCGTTTGTTGCAGAAGTGGCCGAATGTGAAACATCCAAACTCCATGTGAATGCGAAGCTCCCGGGTCCATGACACGACGCACATGAGCTTTGCAACGACCGGCAGCCGCCTTTAACAGTGCAATCAGGACATGATTTCGCATCTTGTTGTTGCAATCGAAGACCTCGTGCTGTTCTGGACAAGCTCTCGGTGGCTTGCCAGGGAAACAAAAGGAAATTGATTGTTGCTTCCGCGCAGAGAACCGTTGATTCTGCTCGAAAGTCGAAAGCATGCTGGCACAGAGATGTAGCTGGCAGGGATAGGTGAACAATGCCGGGCCAGGCGATATGCACTTGCAAACCTAGCATGAAACATCTCGGATGTGCTGTCGCGACAGCCTTCGGCGCTCGGACAACGCAAGCCAGCTGTCAAGATTGTGTGAAGGCTGTTGATGCCCAGAACCCTGAGCTTTGAGGGAAACTGGAAAGCTTCGGACAATGCCTTTGGCAGTGCCTGTTTTGAACCGCAGCCATCTCAGTCACAGACATTTATGGCTGTGCGCAAGAAGCATCACAAATCAAAGCCGCGTGTCGGCAAACTCATTCGAAAGCGTCGACCTAGGAATTGCTGTTCACAATTGCTTTTTGAGTGATACTGAATGAGGCGGCACCTGTCAAAGGGTTTTGATGAGTTTTGTGGGATGTGCTTCATCTACGCTAGAGGCCTTTCAAAGGATCCCCGGCTGAACTGCCAGCTAGGATGCGGCTGCCGTGGCCTTCGACTTGGCGTTCCTGGAGCTTGGGCAGGCGACTTGGGCCCGAAAGCGGCCTTCTGTTCAGCCCGAAAGCAAAACTCTCGAAGGTCAAGGGGGTTTGCCTGGAACTTTCAAGCAGCCTTCAACAGCACATACTGACACAGATGCTGGTTCCTGGATGACCCAGCGCGAAGCTGCCTTCTGCCATGGAGCTCACCTGTCGTCGGACTGAAGAACTTTCGACGAGCGTTATCTTTCGCTAATGTCTTTCCGTTTCTATTTGACGAACGTCCGCGGTCTAGTCTAGGTGTCCACAGGTCCAACAGCGGCCTCCGCCTCTTCAAGTATCCGAAAACATCCTAAAACTGTGGTCTTCAAACCTTTTTTTGCATCAGGGCTTGTGCAATCGCCTGAATGTCTGAGCGTACGGAAGTTCAGCTGAAGACCTTGCATGCTGTAGTCGAAATGCAGGAGTCACAAAATTATCGAGATAAGTTCTTGCGGTTCGTGGCCTCGTTGACTCGAAGTCTGTACATTGCAGAAATGGCGTCGACAAATAATGGCTCCACGCACCAAGACTTGGTCTTTGCCCGAGGACCAGATTGCATGTTTGCGGCGTGCATTGTCACATGCTTGTCCCTTAAACCAGACTTTAACAACTCTAGCAGGTTACTGTTGCCTCTGCCCGCTCAGAGTCAAGATGATTGTGCTCTCCCATTCCGTGCTTCGTCGTGCGAACTTGTATCAGGGTAACATCTCAACCCCACAGTTCAAGAGTGTCGAGCGCCACCCCACCTGGTCAGAAGCTGATGCATTGGAAGGTGTATGTCTCATGGACTTCGAGGTGGAAGCCGCCTCCTTGCAAGAGAACTTCGGCTTCTCGTGATGGCTGAGCCCTATTATGCACGGGTGCCACGTGAGTTCTAGTCTATGGAGTCTGGAAAAAGATTCAAAAGAACTCGTTTCGACTCATTGACTTCAAGAACCGGTCCTGGTCAAGGTCGTCTTCAATGCAAGCCTTAACAGCTGGGCAGGTCAGCAGAGCATGTGCAACATGGGCAAACAGCCACACGCTGTCACTATTGCCACTCATGCTTTCGAAGCGCAGCTAACAGCTCGCTCATCTTCAACTCCTGTTCCAGAAAGCGGGCGTGACACAGAGCGGCTAGCGGCCAGGGCTAGGATTAGGACCGAGTACAAACCGACAAATCAGTAGGGTAGCGTCCGTCCTCCAGTTGCTTCTGCTCCAAGGTTGACTTCAGTATCGGAGCATCCATGTGGTAGCTCTTTGGGTGAGTTACCTGCTTCGCGTTAGCACTGAGATGCACTGGGTTATTGCAATCAGCGGGCAGCATCCGCACGACGGCGGCACAGCCTCCTTCGGCAAGTCCCAGGCACATCCGTGCGTGTCGCTGAACTCCTCACGTTCAAGTCTGCAGCGTCTCTGACTTCCATGCCGCCCCAGACAGCCCTACGCCTACGAATGGCAGGGCACCATGCTCTCACGGACAAACTCGTTTTTGCCTCATGCCGCAAGTCAGCACTGCAATAGCTTGTTTACATACACTGGGAGGGCTGATTCGCTCCCTTCACGCATGTTTTCCCTCCCTTGCATTTACACATACCTGTAGCAACAGGTGAGAGCGGCTTCGATCCGACGCAGGTCACTGGCATAGTGCTCATGTCGAAGATGTTGGTTGGACGGAACACAGCCGCTGGACAATCGTCCAAGGGATTTGTGTCACTGCATCGCTTCTCATAAACACAACAGCTCGGGTCCACAGTGCCGTCTGACATTCTGCACTCAGCGGGGGTCACTGCGCGATCTGCATAGTTCAGTGCCGCCTTCAAACATCCCAGCGACTGGGTCGAACCCTGAGAAGACGACATCAACTCGGTAATGATCGTCATTGCTTGGCTGGGGTCGGAGAATGCCTTGGACAAGACTTGGTTCAAGAATGTTGAGCACTCCTGCATCGTGCTATCATCATCCGTGCTCCCCAAAAAAATACTAGCCATACCTGATGTTGGAGAAGTGCCCATTGAACCGGACTGACCACCAAATACTTGGAATGGATTCGGAAACTGAGTTCCATTCTGGCCTCCCTTGGACCCGTTTTGAATCTGTCGGCTTGCATGCTGCAGAAAAGAATTGCCACCTCCGGTTGCAGCCTCTTCGGCGACGGCTTGTTGCTCTTGGGTGGTGCAAGTATTCCCGGCAGCAGTCCACAATGCTGCCATGTGAATCAGAAGCAAAGAGGCCATGACGCCGAAGATCTCAGGACAACACTACTGGCGCTTTGAACCAAAGAAAGAAGCTGCACACAATTGGCAGTTCACGACAAAAAGATTGGACAGAGAATCAGGGGCAAGGCTTTGTTTGCCATCTGATATCTGCCTCCAGGTCATGGACGAATTGCAGGGCGTAGGCTTTGGAGCTTTGGAAGATATCCTGCCGAAGGTCATGGGACACTGATGGTAAGAAAGCCTCCTTGAGATTAACGCGGGCTGTGGCCTTATACTCTGTGGTGATCTGCCTGAACTTGGCACTGTCCAAAGCCTTGCTGGGCAGCGTCGCGAGGGACTGAGACTGAGCAATCAAAGGTGTTGGAAAAGCTGAGATGCCAGGAGCTCGCTATCCGTCAAAGCACCCATGGTGCCTCATGAGCGATGCGACTATCGGCGACACCCATACTGCCGCCTGTTTTGCAATGGCCTCTGTGTGTCCATGGCAGCCAAAGGGAATGCTCGCAGAAGAAGCTGTCCTTGAGTTGACCACATATCACATCCTGCTACGCTACGCATTCGCATTCACACCCGGCCTTTGAAAGGGTCAGCACGCGGTTGAAGAGTGGATTTGCTGCCAGTTTGCGTGACCTCCTCTGGTGAGCCTTGTGCGCAGCAAACATCCGTTCAAAACTTCGTCCGGGATCTGTCAAAGACATCTTCAAGCTGAGACACCTCCCATGCAGGTGAGTTCTTGGGCCGCTGGTAGTAGTTGCTGCCTCGGCGGGTGCACTCGTGCGCAACACGCACCAGAAAAGCTCCCTTAAGCAGAAGCTTGCCGGCAGGAGATGCTGGATTGGCCAAGTAACCACTCGTCAAGAAGAACATCCTAAGAGCGCCAAGGTCGATATGCAGCATAACATGCAAGGAGCCAGACGCAACCTATGTGTCAGATGTTCGCAGTTGCAGTGCCGAAGGTCGTGTGAGATTCGCCATGAAGCTGAAACAGAACATCGGAGCGCGAGAGGTTCATCTTCTCAACAGCCTTGGCGCAAACCCGCTGTCGTTGCAAAGGCCTCGATTTTGCCACGGTGCCTTGAAGCAGATCTGGTTGATTGCCTCGATGCTGAAATCTTTGTCTGCAGCGCAAGCCAGCCCTCAAAGACGACGGAGCATCGGATACTCACCAGCCGAGGCGCGGCATCATTATGGGCATACTTCACGAAGAATTTGTGAATCACCAAAGAGGGGAGGTACAGCTCCTGCGCAAAGCCCGATCGGTACTCCAGACCGAAAAGCACCGGCGAGAAAGAAGGGCATCGGCAGATCCACAGCATCAAACTCACTCCGCTTGTTCAGAACGGTCGTCCTTCTGCAGCTCGACCCTCAATGGACCACTCAGCATGTTCAACGAAGCAACGCGGCTTTTGTCGATCTTTTTCCTGTTTACCTGAATACTGAAATCACGGAGGCAGCTAAGAAATGGAAGCTTTCAGCAAGTCGTCTCATGTCGACTCAACATGTTGTTCACTTCCCGCCATAACGCTGACATCCCTCGCGGATGCAAAAAACACCGTGCTATCCTACCGGCTCGAGGCTTGGCATACATACTTCTGTCAAATGCAAATGCCTCGATGGCCATGTCGATGTAGCGCACGACTCGTGACCTTGATGATGCAACCAGGCGGGCGT